CATTAAAGAACATAACATACATATGTACATATATTTGATCAAATATAAAGGAAACTTCAACTTACCTGTTGAATATATTGCAGGTTTGGAATCACTTCAGTCCTGGGTATTTTATTCCATAATTTTCTGATTTTGTAGAAAAAAAAATTAGAATATTACACCACATTTCACTTGTTTATTTTTATAAACATGAAAGATTGACATTTTGCAGACACCAGAAAAAGATTCGTTCAATAGCTTTCGTTCAGTTGGATCGGTGTTGCCGCATGGCAAAATCGATCAAAATAAATCATCTCAAATATTTGTCAAGTGTGGTGGAGTGAAATAAAAAAGAACGAGCGAATGAAATGAAAAATATGTGAAATGGGGAAAAATTTTATATAATAATATAAAGAAGTTACAACAATATACGGCGCAGTGTATATAAAATTACATTGTATTTTTAAGTTCAGTGAACTGCGTCATCTGTTCTATATACAAGAAAACATATCAACCAAAAAAAAGTGGGACTGGCTAGGTGTATCGCCGTTGCACAACCATTTGGATAAATCTTTTCTGAATCTACAAATAGGGTGGAAAATTCAGATCAAGAACACAGTATTAGAAAAACCGTCGCATCGAGCTTATACATTTAAATTTTATGTTGAAATTATATAATAAGTTTATATAAAGTCATAGTCAAAGAAAAGTAAATTTTGTTAATGGAATCAATAAATTGTTACCATATGAATTGAAAAGAAAAAAAGGGAAATTGTTTTTTTTAAAATTAGTTTATATAAAAAAAAGGGAAAATAATAATTTATGCTCGGAAAGAGGCAATAATAAAATTTTATTGGTTTGTATTGGTGGCTTTTGTGTATAAATGTTAGCGCAAATCGCCGCCTAACAGAGACGATAGCCAATTTGTTGCTGTACGAATAGAGTCTTATAAATAAAGTTTCGATGCTGGTGTGCTTTACTGCCCTCCGGGACGTGTTATAAAGAGTGTTTCATTCGAAGATCTCCTGAATCTCCTTAAAGTAAGGCTTATTCTCGGAGGTGAATTTAATGCCAAACATATTAATTCGGGCTCTAGATTGACCTCAACAAGAAATTAAGAGCTAAGAAATGCTATTAGAGAGATTGACTGTCACTACCAATCTACTGGTACACCAACATATTGGCCAACTGATAGAAGTATGATTCCAGATCTGCTAGACTTCTTTATTGTCAAGAAAATCTCATCAAATTTAATTAGTTTAGAAGATAACTATGATTTGGATTCGGGTCATTTTGCAGTTATATTAAACTTAACAGAGACAGTTACCAAGAAACAAAATAAGCTCATGTTGATTAATAAATCCACTGACTGGATTAGTTTTAAAGAAGAGATAGAGAATAAAATAAACTTAAGAATCAAAGTACGAACCCAAAATGATTTGGATTCTGAGGTTGAGAATTTTAATAAAATCATACAAAGCGCTGCCTGGAATAATACAAAACAATGTGAGTATAAATCCGTGGGTATGACTTACCCAAGAGAAATACTAAATATGATAAGCGAAAAGAGAAGAGGTAGACGCATATGGCGAAACTCACGAGATTCGCCAGATAAAACTGCACTCAATGCACTCACTCAGAATCTAAAAAGCAAAATAAGAAAAATCAAAGAAGATTTATTTGATAACTACATTAAAAATTTATCAGCCGAACAAGAAAGAAATTGTTCCTTATGGAGAGCTGCAAAAAATATTCAAAAGTCAATTTTACATGTTCTCCCTATTAGTGGAGCGGATGGCAAATGGAAAAGCGGATGAAATAGAAAATAATAAAACACTTGCAGATCATCTCGGTCATTTTCAGGCCAAATGACATACACTCCAACAAAAATATTTCAATGGGAAATGTGAGAGCAGAAGACGTTATCGCTCCATTTCATTTGCACAAAGAGAAAAAGTGGAAGAATGTGAAAGAAAGCACCGGGTTATAATTTAATTACCCCTGAGATACTGAAGCAATTACCAAGAAAGGGTATAACAGTGTTGACTTTTTTAATGAATTCTACATTAAGGTAAAAATATGTGCCTAATACTTGGAAGGTAGGGGAGTTATAATGGTACAAAAACCTGGTAAAGCTTTAAATGAGATCAAGTCTTATAGACCAATTTCTCTGCCACCAATTTTTTCGAAACTTTTTGAAAAGTTATTACTAAAAAGAATGGGACCTGTAATTGCGGAGAGGTCATTAATTCCGAACTACCAATTTGGGTTTAGAGCATCATTTAAATGAATAAGAACATTAACTACTGATCAAATTCATAGAATTACCAATATCATTGAGAAAGCCCTAGAAGAAAATCAAATTTATGCAACAATTTTTGTAGACGTGGCACAGGCTTTTGACAAGATTTGGCACAAAGGATTAATATACACGTTAGGAAAAATATTACCGATGCAATATGTAGATATTCTCACTTCTTATTTAACCGAAAAACTATTTAGAGGCAAACAGGAGGGGAACTATTCCACACTTAGAGAAATAAGAGCTGGTATTAAATAAGGCAGTATTTTGGATTCAATACTATATTTACTCTCTACAAGAGATGTGCCTCAAAAAGAAAACACAATTGTAGCTAATTATGCTGACGGTACTGCAATTATTTATTTATTTATGTTTAGCTCAAACATTTTACATAACTTAAAATTAAAGAATACATATACAGATACCAAAGAATACCGAATAACTTCTAATCACGTCTATACATTTCGCGGCCAGTTCCATGTACTCATCTTTTTGCTTATTGAGGGTTACATTAATTTCTTTTGAACAAGTCAACCAGTTTCCAATGATGGTCAATGCATCCCTCACACACAAAATATTGCGCCAGAAAAGAAAAGCATCACCCTCTAGGAGCACTCAAACAAATCCCATGAAATCTTTTGTTGCAAAATCCATTGCGAGTAAGCAACTCGCTTTTTGCGTCTGATACAGAGCATATTGAACTATCACATCTGTAGATCGAACTTATCTCGACAACTATTTTAATCTAGCTTTTAACTTTTAATCACTTTAAATTTTAAGTGCAATATAATGTAAGTGATATGACAATTTTTATTAAGTAGAAAAAGTTATAATAATTATTGTCAGCTCTTTTTTATTTTTTTTAGTCTTAATTATAATAAACTGCGTATTATTTAATGCAGGTAGTACAACACTCACGTTTGCAAAAGAACGAATTTTTCTTTCTTTTTACCTTTGTTCTACAAAAAAAATTTTTTTGTTTTTTACAAAATATGTAAAGCAGTTTAGGTAGGTCAAAAAACAAAACTAAAATTTTGTTATAAAATCGTGAGTAATACTGCGAATTTAATATTTAGTTATTGCTTTTGTTTTTATTGTTTTTCTGTATTATTTAATTGAAAAGTTAAAGTTTAGTAAATATTAGCTACTATCACTGTTATAAAGCGTAAAAAGAAGCACAACCGTTCTTGTTAATTGTAATATGAGAACTGATTATGGCAGTAGCACCAAATATTGACGACGTCACAAGAAAGTTGCAATAAGCAAGCAATAGGTTTGATGTTAGGACCAAGAAATGGAAAACAAATCTAAATGAAACTAAGTTTGCACAAGTAAATTTTGCAAATAAAGTTCTTGTAAATCCCCCACGTGTTAATTTAAATGGGGTAGATGTTGCGCAGGAAAATGTAGCAAAATATCTAGGAATGACACGGGATGTCCTTGTCATCCTTCCCCTCCTTCTGGGAGAATCCCCTCCTTGTTATCTGGGATTCTTCCAGAAGGCTAAAGAGATTTTGCCTTCTGATGTAGCGCAAAATGCAATCTCTGTTCAATCTCTTTCAATCTATATTAGAGAAAATTTAATGGTTGGTTTAAGGGACCAGTATAACAAAACATAAGTTTCGCAACGAAACTTGCTGCCGTATGGGCCTCGATTTAATTTGTAAAGAAACATGCACTTAATAGCGGTATATAAATGATAGTGTGATTATAACCAAACACGAAATGAATAAAACAAGTTGTTAAATAATATTATTTGAAAAGTATCAACAGTAATTAAACTTATTAACGGCTACGACAGGCATTGTATTGTGCATAATATTAACTCTAAATATTTTTAATATTTAATAAATATTTTTCTTTTGTTAACTTTTCATTCTTTATTTAATAATTTTTTTTCTTTATTTTATAAAAATTCGTTTGGTATTTTGAGCTTTTTAAATTTTTCATATGCTTAAGCAAAAAAAATTTACCGATAAACTGGCAATTTAAGATATTTTGTAATATTAGTAAAAGTATTGTGTACATTGAAACATTTACGCTAATAATTCACTTATGTAAAGATCCAGTTAAATTCGGTATTCAATGGGCATGTTGTACGTTAAACTTCAACTTTAACATACAAGTTTTTTCTCTTGTTCAAACTTTAAGTAGCAAGTTTTCTCTTTTGTTCATTGCAAAGAAGGAATATTAAGAATACAATGAAACTCAATGACAGGTTCACTTAACTTCACGTCTTCCCGAAATATTTGGAATGAAATAAAAGAACATAGAAATACAAAGAAAAAATTTTAATTTTCACTGATGTAATAAATTTATGTGTATACGTATGAAAATAATGTTATGGCATTCATAAAATTCAAAACGATATTACTTGCTAATTTTTCAAAAATTTTTTATTTCCAAAAATTGATGTTTATTTGACGATAGTATTATATCGAATTTAAAACCATCGATAGTTTCGATAGCGCCATCAATAGTTTTCCACCTCTAGTTTCAAATGTTAATGAGAATTGAGGAAGAATGTATGATTTTTCATGTAAGTAAATTGAGAAGTTGAGTGAGTAAGTTATCATTGTAAAGTAACTTGAGTAGTGTCGGCTAACGAAAATGTTATTGAAAGTAATATGATGTGGTATATTTTTTTTTTTATTTATTATCTCAAGAGAGCCCAATCGCTCGTACAGAGTGTATAACATTTATAATCAATTCTATAAAAAGTATAAAAGTTTTAAATTCTTTTCCATTGAATTTACAAAAACTTTTATACTTTGCTAAACATTGAATTTTTGTTTCTTGAATTGCTTTGAAAAACAAAGCAATTCAAGAAACAAAATAAATTCAATAACAATGGGGAAACAATTTCAAATAGAACAAACTACACAACATTAAAATTTTTGCACTTCTAAATTATAACAATTGAAAAAAAACGGTATGCTAGGAATCAAAACTATGTCCTATTTCTAAAAAATTCATTTACTAATTTTTTAAATTTATGTGCTTCAATAATTTGTTTCATTTCATTTGGTAATTCGTTGTACATTTTAAAAGCTAAATTATAAATCGTATCTTAATTATTAAATCTTTTTGTAGATGACGTCACTCTTATGTTGCTCGCATCTCTAGTGAAATAACTGTAAATGTTGCTGTTCATAATAGGCTTCACATTTGTGTGAATATTCTTATTGATAATTATATGTGCCTGAGTAACCAACTTACATTTAATTAGCAAATTCAGAGGTAATATTTTATGGGTCTCATGAATCTTTCTTGTTGAAGCCCGTACTTTATATACAAATAAGTTTTTTATAGCTTTATTTTGTATACGCTGTAGCATATCCAAATCTTTCATCCACATATTTCAAGAATTAGAGTTATTATCTCATTTAAGTTATTTAAAAGATAGTTATAGAATAGTTTCAAATAATTTAAATTAGTTTTTAGGTTAAAATAAATATGTACTACCTGCTATCAAACAATTTTTTTTGTACATAATAATTTTAAAACTAGTTCATGCTATATTTATACGTATGGCCTTAAGTCAAATACACAAAAATTTACATAAGTACCTGTCATTTTACAATCCGAATTTTTTAAATGATTTGCTAAGTTACAATTTATTTCAAAAATAAAAAAATAATCAAATCCGGTCATAAAAATATATGATTGCTTTTTCCAAAACATTTTAAATAGTTTTCTTACTTAGCTAATGGATATATTAAGTTTTTTAAATTTTTTCAAATAATATTAAATTTGTATTGGTAAAATAATATATAATTGTATTTTTTAAATTATGTTCTAATTCCCTTTTCAAATTCTTTCTTTACTATGTATTCATATATAATAATTTATTTTTTCATTAATTTAATTTTTACTTGTATTTAATAATTATTATTCTTTCATTAATTATATTTTCGACTTGACACTACGGTTACTTCCCATATCTTGAGTTAACTTACCCTATGAGAAAAAAACTCTTCACTTAAAAATGATAAAATGCCTTCAGTAGCAAATAAAATGTTGAAGGCGAAGGTTGGGCTCGCTGTTTTTTCGCTTTTTTGCATTTATTTTAAAAATTTTAAAATAATTGTGAATAAAAATATTATTATATTTAATTGATTTTTTAAATATATTTTTGGAATTTTACCTGCTATAATATTTATTATTTATTTATTTATGTTTTGCTCAAACATTTTACATAACTTAAAATTAAAGAATGCATATACAGATACAAATTTTTTAGACAAAACAAATTTTTGACTTTAAAATTAAATTTAAAAATTATATATTTTTAAATGAATTTGATATGAATGAAAACAATGAAAAACTAAAACAAGAATTTGTTAAAATAAAGAAGAGGGTTATACTTAACTATAACTAAATAGAAGCTTTTTCATCGTGTCTTTCTTCAGTGAAAATTCAAGTCTGTGTTTGTGTTTGTTGCATAAACGCAGCATTCCGCTGACAGGTTCATGTTTCCCATAATTGGACCTACTAAAAGAAATAATGAAAAGATCAGGGACGAGAAGGTTGGAGTTAATCGCAATTTTATTTAAAATATTTCAAAAGATTAAGTCAGTTTTCATAAGCTGAAAAATGAATAACAAATCCGTGTTGATGAATTAATTTGAGCCAGTGCTGTAAGGTGGAAGAATGATGGGGTCTTCCCAAGAAAGAAAGCGCGTGCGAACCTCAAAAAATTTTTTTGAATAGACTCAATCCTATTAATATGTATATCGTAATAGGGTGACCATACTTGTGAAGCATATTCAAGATGCGGACGGACCAGGCATATGTAGAGCGATTTTAAGACATAAGGATCATTAAACTCCTTTGACCAGCGTTAAATGAAACCTAACATCAAGCTTGATCTGCATATGATATGATTATAGTGGTTTATGAATGATAACTTGCTATCGAAGCAAACACCCAGGTCCATTTTTGAATCAATTTGAAGAGCTTGGCCATTCAAAGTATATTTTGTAAAAAATGGCCGTTTTTGCTTAGAGTAGCACATTTGTGCATATTTACTTACATTGATTTTTGAGCACAAGCTGTAGAAGCGGTTAAGATCATTCTGAAGACAACGCATCATTTGTAGAGCTTGTTTTTTTTTAAATTTTCATGTCGTCAGCATATATTAATACTTCCCTGTGCGTTGGCATGGAAACAACATCATTAATTGAAATTATGAACAGCAATGGAACTAAGTGACTACCCTGGGATACACCAGAATTAGACGAACGAGGCGAGGAAATTGCTGAACGAAAGAGGACTCTGTAAGTCCTGCCAGAGAGATATGACTTTATCCAGGCTAAGAAGTTGTCAGGGAATCCTAAGAGTTTCAATTTTAAAATAATAATTTCATGTGGTAGTATGCGTAGTATGGTAGTATGCGTCTGCGTAAATTACGTCCGTCTGATACCCATTTTCCATATTAATTGAGAAAACTGTCGTGGCTTCCACTAGATTAGTCACCGTGGATTTCTTTTTCAAGATGTGAAGATTTCAAGATGCTGACGCGCACTAATGAATGGCATACAATGGAAATAAATATTGTCATATACCATCAACTCAAAAATCTTAGGAATTGCCGACAGTTTAGCTATAGAACGATAGTTTGACACGTCATTTTTATTGTTTTTCTTATGGATTGGCATAATGAAAGCTTCCTTCCACACGGACGGGAAAATGCCCGAAGAATAAGACTTATTAAAAATTACGGTTAAGATGGGCGCCAGAGAAGAGCAGCACCTGCTTAAAATAATCTCAGGAACTCCATCTGGTCCAGGAGAAGGACTAGAACCCAAATTGAAAAGATATTTTTCAACCAAAGAGTTCGTGACAAAATTAGTGAAGGTAGTTTTACGATAGTTATCAATGTGCCGAAAGTCGTGAACATGTAATTGAAAAGGCTCGTCAATAGATGGTTGGTCGTCAATGCAATAAGAGAAAGATACCGGAGGATGACAGATATCAACGTTAACCAACAGATTCGGGACAGTTATAAGTAAACAATTGTTTGACTAGATCCAGTTGCCTCAATTGATGGTTTTTTTTTTTAAAAATATTTGTTGCAAATTATTTAGATGAAAAGTATCTATAAAAGACAACTCCAATTCACTAAAATAGTCAATTGAATCAAAAATGGTTCCTCATCATGAATCATCCACCTCATTTTGGGGAGATTAAATTCTCCGAAAACAAAAACCTCATCCTCAGGGTTAAAAGAATTGCATAAATAATTAATTGCCGGAGAAAATTTTGCATATAACTCATTACTTGCGTTAGGCGGTATATAACAATTGACTAAGAAAAGCGTTTTGGAATTCAGCTCAATTTTAACTGCGATGATTTCAAGATCATCGGAGTCTTAAATGTCAATAATACTAACTGATAACGAGTTTTTAACGGCGATTAATGCCCCACCTCCCTTTGGTGTGTGTCCCTGCAAGAGAAGTGCATGTCGGTCCTTTCTAAAAACAGAAAATGAAGAGTTGAATAATTCAAGATTATTGATGGAGGGGAACAACCAAGTTTCCGTTAGAACATAAATATCACAGTCAAGAAGCGAAGAGTTAAACAGAACGGTGTTAGTTTTAGTCCTTAGTCCACGAACATTTTGATAGTACAAAGAAAGTTGTTTCACGGTCCTTGTTATACTATTTCCAAAACCAGTTAATTGGACCAAGGTATTGTTGTTATAAAAGCTACTTGAAGAAAAAACTTGTTGTTTGCTTCCCTCATCCTGTGCAAATAATCAATCCATTTAATTTTCTCATATGGCTCCTAAATGTTTGTAAATCTTTATCAACTCTGGCGACAGATATATTTAGCCTTGTCATGAATTTTTTTAAATAAGTTATATAAATTAGTATAGTCAGAGGGAAGGTCCTCACTTTCAATAAAAACCTTAACACCTAAACTAGTTTTACCATCGTGGTGCACATTCTCTGCCGCGTCGTGAAGATATGTCAAGTACAATTTAACATTCTCATATACAGCTCAGCGAGCGTTGAGTAGATTGTGGGTGTTGGGTATAGATATAGAAAATTGGATGTTAGCTGTGAATGTTTTACCATGAATGAAATTTGGGTATTTGGTTCCATTGTCAATATTTTTGTTCTTGTTATTATTTGTATTGTCGCTATTGTCTTTTTCAGTAATTTCATCGTTATTATTGCTATTGAGATTTATGTCAGTACTACTATCATTATTATTACTATTATTATTATTACTATTGTTATCATTATTATTGTTAATATTATAGATGTTGCTAATTATTACTATTATCGTTGTTATCGTTATTATTATTATTATTATTATTATTATTATTATTATTATTATTATTATTATTATTATTATTATGACTTTTGCACTTCTCAGCCATTTGCTGGAAACATTTACCTATCCCCAACGCGATGTTATATTGTTGGGGATCAGGCTCGGTCGGCCATCTTTGGCATAGACTTCACCTCTTTCGTATTTATCATGTTAGTTTTCCTCCTTTTATTCAATATTTAGAAACTCACGGACGATTCTGCAGCTGTCTAAAATTACTGCCTTTTGCATTCTTTCAATAACTGACCGGTTTAATTTAAGTTTTATGACCCCCTCTGCTGTTTTCTTCGGAATTAGACCTGTTGTTGAAAGGATGATTGGTATGATTTTAACGTCGTCAACTCTCCATGCGTCTTTGATTTCATTTCCTAGTGGTATGTATTTCTGAATTTTTTCGGTGTTTGTGGTACTCAGGTAGTTATTGTTGACCACTGCTATATCTATAAACATCACCTCTTTGTTAACCTTGTTGTGGATCACTATATCGGGTCGGTTGTGGACGATGGTATTGTCAGTTACGATCGAACGATCCCAGTAGATTTTAAAATTTCTATTTTCGGTAACTGCATGTGGGGAATATTTGTAGTACGGCTCATTTGTAGTTTCGAGGTCCATCATTTTCATTAACTCTATATACAGGACCTTCGCCACGTTATCATGCCTTAGTTTGTACGCTGTTTGAGCAATAACACTGCAGCCTGCTAAGATATGTTGTATTGTTTCTCGTGTGTTTGAGCATTTTCTGCATTTATCATCTGTTATTGATGTATCTCTAACAACGTATTTAAGATAATTTCTGGTGGCAATGACTTGGTCTTGAATCGCTATCATAAAACCCTCAGTTTCTGCAAATAATTTTCCTCTTGTTAGCCATTTGTTTGAGAGATCTTAGTCAATAT